GGTGCAGCCCCCCAGGGGAGCCGGGCAGGGTTACCGCTGATCCCCGGGGGTGGAAGGGACAGACCTGGAAACGACCCCTCCATCGTGTCCCCCCGGGTGGCACCGCTCGGCACAGCCGAAGCCGAGCTCCTGCTCCCCATGGCAAGGCTTTTGGCGGGTGCATGGGGTGGGTGTCAAACGGGTGACCTCTGCTCCTTGGTCCTTCTAGGATGACATTTGGGGTGAGCCATTTCCTCTCTCTTGGTTCCAGGTTGGTGTCGACGGTCCAAGCCACGATGGCCACGGTGTCGGGGATCACGGTTGTCCTTAACTGCAAGAACGTGGTGTACGACAGGTAAGAGCAGCCCCCGGCGCGGACCCTGTGCCCAGCCAGCTCGCAGCTGGGGTATTTTATACCAAAGGCTTGCAAAGGGAGGAGAAAAACCAGTTTCATGTTCCTCTTTCCTCCGTTTTGGGTGAAGGGTTGGGCAAGGCGCTGGCTTATTCAGTGCACTCAGCCAGCACAGAGGTTGTCCTCTAGAGGATGGGCTGTCACATGGGCCCATAAATAAGCAATAATTAAAGCCATCATCACTGAAGGGGTAGGGAGTCTTCTTGCTGGAAGCTGAAATTGCTAGCGAGTGAAACAGACCTAGTGGGAACCAATTTTAGAGGTGCATCACCTTCCCCATGCCAAATGAATTCGGAAAGAGCCCAGCAATGAGAAAAATCAGTGTGGAGTTGCTCAGAAGGAAAATCACATCGCCCCGTCCTCAGTGCTGCAAGATAAACTGCCCCAGAAGTGTCTTGCAGCAGAAGCGATAGTGCAATCTGGGTCAGAAGACTTAAAAACAGAGCTATTATCCAGAATTGCAGAGAAGATTGTAGGAGGAAAGAATATAATTACGCTGAGCTGGAATTTGGCTGTCACACCAGATTTTAGGGTGACTTTTAGGGAGGGCTGTCCTCGATCATTGCAGACTTGCCTTTAAATACTCAGATGTGAAACACCCAACCTTGCTCTAGATAGTGAGATCAATCCAAATTGCTCAGTCCTGCTGAGCTCAGTCCAAGGAGTTACCTTTTATGCTCTAAAATAAAATATCTGCTGTATAAATAGGGCAGATGATAAATCCCAGGCCCCCACAGACGGAAAGCGCTGCTGGGAGCCCTCCTCCTCCCCAGACACTCGTGCTTCCCGGGGTGTACTCGAGACCAGCAGCTCCTTGCAAACACTTTGTGGTCAGAGACCTAGATTTTCTTTGAATCTGAAAGAAATAGAGCCCTGTGCTCAGCAGGGAAGGCCTCGGAGAATGACAGCAAGACAGCGAGCCAGAAAGCATCACAAAGGTTGCAGTAAAATGTGCCAATTTATTTACACAGGCAGACAATCATTGTATCACTGGCACCGTAATTGCCCTCCAAAGCCCTGGGCAAGTTTTGCAAACCCAATAAATAGCCGGTCACTTCCCCTCTCTGCTTTACATCACTGATGTCTTTCTATCTGGAATAGGAACGCACACAACACATTTTTTCCTTGAGATGGCAGGAGAACAAAAGCGGATTTATTTGGGCCCCAAGCTACATTTCTTTAAGGAGTAGCGTAGGGTGGGTTCTTTTGTGTTGTTTTGTTGGTTTTTTTTAACAGTGTGATTTCAGTCAGGACTTTTTAAGGAGCCCAGTGTCCCTGCAGAGCTGGGCTTGCTGCTGCCTGGATTGTGCAACTGGGATTCCGACATGCGCTGGGAACAGGCAGCTGCCTGCAATTATTTCCCAACAGACAAACATCTCATGGGGGTTTACTGCCTATATTAGACAATCGCACTTCACTCTCTGAGGTCTGGGCCAGGCATCTCTCATTAGCTCTGAGGTCTCCGGGCACTTTCCAAACATTCCTGGGGTCAGGTAGCCAGCCGAAGCGGTGCAGCAGGCAGAAAGGACTTGGTTTTGGAGCTTTTCTCCTACCAAGCATCAGCTCTGGGTGTCCCAGGGCTTAGGGGAGAAGATCACCGGCTGCAGAGGTGCTGGATCCCGAGCGGTGCCGCACAGCAAACACCTGGCTGCAGGGCTAATCACCATCCTCTGTTAGCGCCGTGTTTGTGCTGGGCAGGGCCGAGCCCTGCGCCTGGCACAGACAAGCGCAAGCGGGAGCAGTGCCAAGGAGGCGTCCTCCACGCGTACCAGGTACCTTTTCTCTGCCGAGCCAAATCCAGTTAAATTTCGACACCTCTCAGCTTCCTGTCAGCTTTGAAATTGAGACGTAAAGACTCTCTTCCACCTCTGAGAGCCATTGCGATGCCGCTGTGTGTGCTGTTCACCGCTAGGCACTGGCTGGCTGTGGAGTACATCTGGGTCCTGGTTCCCTACATGACCTACGACATTTACGTCATGTACCTGTGCCACTGGCACAAGAGCCAGGACAGGGGAGTGGCAGAGAAGAAGCACTCGCTGGCCAGTGTGCGCAGCTTCCTCCTGCAGGAGCGACTGATGGTCACCCACCATCTCTTCATCCTCGTCGTGCTCACCCCTGTCACCCAGGTAAGGGCTGGGCACGGCCGCTGAGGTGATCCAGGCTGTGTTTGGCAAAGCATCTCTGCCCGTCAGGAGGTCAAGAGCCCCTGGAGATGCTTGGTGTTTGCTTCTCTCTGCTCATTGCTGTCTTTATTTGCAGTACTTCAGGGGAGAGCTGGGGGACTTCTTTGTGGGCTGCATCTTAATAGCAGAGCTGAGCACACCTTTTGTATCGCTGGGCAAAATCCTCATGCAGGTATGTAAGAAAGGACGGGGCCTGGGTCTGGAAACCCCACAGCGGCTCACACCCCTTCCCCACTCCAGGCTGCCCTTCTCCATCAGCCCCGTTCACACAGCAGCTGGGCTGGGGGGGTCTCAGAGAGGCGCAGCCCCACAGCTGTAACCCTGAGCTCCCCCAAAGCGCTGCCCTCCTCCCCGCCTCCTGTGAGGTTCCCATCTCTTTCTCCCAGTAAGCAGGATGCCCAGTGGCATCCCCAAACTGGGGGCTGTGCCCTGTTCTGGTGCTGCCCTCTCCTGTCTGTACCACCCC